CTGTAAATAATTGAGACTGGACCAGACAATCCAGAGATTGACATCATGAGCATCGACCCACGCATTTGGGATGCGATGAAATGCATCAACCAAGTCAGCGAGCCTGACCACCCGATCCCGTTAGTCGCCTCTTACGACAAGCATAGTCGCTCTTTACGGCAAGCATGGGTTGCTGAAGACCTATTCTATCCCCGATCTTCACGGTCATATTGCATAACATGATGCTAACGCCCCGAATTGCCATAGTTAGATTGCGAAAACGGTTGTTCCAGCGACAATGTATCATACCCTTTGTTGTGTGTACGTCAGGTGTTTGAAGGTGTCAATTGAATACCTTTCTTTTGTTAATGTCTGGTGTCTTGGAGTGAGGTGGCATATAACTCTTTTAATAGAACCATGTTGTTTTTTCGTCCCTTTTGCAGCCAAGGATTGTCAGCAAAAATCAAGATAACACAAGGCCACCACCAGTGTGTATAATAGACTGGGATATATCTCTGTATATAATTAAAATAATATATGATATTATTTAACCCCAGATATGATTTATTTTTCGTCAGTGGAGTGTTCCGGGTGCATTATACTGTTTTATTGTATAGCATGTAAGCCGTTGAAATATAATGGAACTGTGACACCACTTGTGACAGCAATCTATGGAACAGTATATGTGTATACATGAACATCTGTGACAGCAATCGACGGAACAGTATATGTGTATACATGAACATATGTGACAACAATTTACGGAACAGTAAATGTGCATACATGAACATCTGTGACAGCAGCATATGGAACAGTATATGTGTATACATGAACATTTGTGACAGCAGCATATGGAACAGTACATGTGTATACATGAATATCTGTGACAGCAGCATATGGAACAGTATATGTGTATACATGAACATCTGTGACAGCAGCATATGGAACAGTACATGTGTATACATGAACATCTGTGACAGCAGCATATGGAACAGTACATGTGTATACATGAACATCTGTGACAGCAGCATATGGAACAGTACATGTGTATACATGAACATCTGTGACAGCAGCATATGGAACAGTATATGTGTATACATGAACATCTGTGACAGCAGCATATGGAACAGTATATGTGTATACATGAACATCTGTGACAGCAGCATATGGAACAGTACATGTGTATACATGAACATATGTGACAGCAGCATATGGAACAGTACATGTGTATACATGAACATCTGTGACAGCAGCATATGGAACAGTACATGTGTATACATGAACATCTGTGACAGCAGCATATGGAACAGTACATGTGTATACATGAACAACTGTGACAGCAGCATATGGAACAGTATATGTGTATACATGAACATCTGTGACAGCAGCATATGGAACAGTACATGTGTATACATGAACATCTGTGACAGCAGCATATGGAACAGTACATGTGTATACATGAACATCTGTGACAGCAGCATATGGAATTGTAAATGTGTATACATGAACATCTGTGACAGCATCATATGGAACAGTACATGTGTATACATGAACATTTGTGACAGCAGCATATGAAACAGTACATGTTTATACATGAACATCTGTGACAGCAGCATATGGAACAGTACATGTGTATACATGAACATCTGTGACAACAGCATATGGAACAGTACATGTGTATACATGAACATCTGTGACAGCAGCTTATGGAACAGTACATGTGTATACATAAACATCTGTGTTTGAAAACCCGCATTCGCTTTGTGTCGCCTAGCGTAAGATGATAATATTGTATGCTTAAACAAGCAGCGCCTCACACACAAAACGCCTACATAAAATATTATGTCTATTCGTCACAAAACCAATCCCATCATTCTGGATGAAAGTAAGGTGTCGGGATGAAGATTTCACACATGTTCACCTGAATGAGTACATGGTAACCGCAACTGTGTGAGTGACATCTTACTAACGAGATAATCTCAGCTTTAGTCAGGCATGAGCAAAGTTTATGAAAATGACGAGGAAGAAATCCTACATGGAAATGCACATGTATATACGGTAGCACAATGACAATTTATTGGGTCGTCAATATGTCGACGCAAGCTTTTTACCGACCGACAGTGATCATGACAATTTCCAGGAAGAAGCCCTGTCTACCTTACAATCTATTTACTTTGTCCCAAAGATTGGCCGAGTTATTTTTCTGTCAGTTTTTTACACGTCTAGACACTGAAGATCAAGGAGTCAGTGTCAGTGTTTGCTGTTTTAATCCAATCGACCATCTCGTTAATGACGAGGAGAATCCATATTAGAGCCAAATTGTCGGCGCCACTGTCAACGGACACAACACACCGATAGAAGCGGAATGTGCTTACCTTGCTTCATACAATACAATATATTGTCTTCAGAAACAAGAACGTTATCTGACGGTAGACGTATTCAGTGACATCAAAACATAGCGCCAATCAAGGGCTGCCTCCTGTTTTAAGAATAAGCCTAGTGAAGCAAGTAAGTCATAAGTGAGAGCTTTCTCATCTGATTACTGGATCCTCGTTGATGAGCAGCCAGAAATAAAACATAATGCAGCATTGTCGAGCCAACGCCTAACCGTACACTGAATCCCACTGAATTACTGCATGTAATCGGATTAGAATGTTATTTGTTGGTGCAAAATGCTGTTTTGTTTGAGTGTTTAGTTAATCAGTTCTTTATTTGAGGAAGGATTCATCAATGCGTACATGGTCTGGTGTAGACAGAGAAGTTATAGAATCAGGCGTATCTTTTCGAGTAGCAAGGCCCTATATGTTCCCAACCTACAACCCTATACTTCACACCAACCCACCTCTAGCTCATACCTTATACTCCAGAATCACACACCTAACACACACCCTATACTCTAGAATCACACATCTCACACACACCCCATACTGCACACACACACATCACACACATACCCTTTACTCCACACACACACTCTATACTCCACACACACACACACACCCTATACTCCACACACACACATATCACACACACACTATACTCCACACCCACACATATCACACACACACTATACTCCATACCCATACATATCACACACACACTATACTTCACACCCACACATATCACACACATATCACGCACATATCACACACACCCTATACTCAACACCCACACCGGGAGGTCAGGGATAGAGTAGGTCCCCATTACCTTTCGTTTGTGTTCTTGCTGACAACCATTGGTTTCATTGGAACAGACTAGAATACTTACATGCCACCGTTTTATAACTATTATATTAACACACACATACACACACACACCTTATACTCTACACCCAAACACCTCACACCCTATACCCCCCCCCCCCCCCCCCCACACACACACACACACACGCACACTATACTCAACACCCACACATATCACACACACAGTATACTCCACACACACACAATCACATACACCCTATAATCCACACCCACACATATCGCGCACACACTATTCTCCACACACACATATCACACACCCTATACTTCACACCCACACATATCACACACACACACACTATACTCCACACACACACACACACACACACACACACGCACGCACACTATACTCCACACACACACATATCACACACACGCTATACTCCACACACACATATCACACACAAACTATACTACACACCTACACATATCACTCACACACTATACTCCACGCACACACTATACTACACACCCACACATATCACACCCGCACTATACTCCACACCCACACATATCACACACACACTATACTCCACGCACACACTATACTACACACCCACACATATCACACCCACACTATACTACACACACACACATATCACACCCACACTATACTACACACACACACATATCACACCCACACTATACTACACACCCACACATATCACACACACACTATACTTCACACCCACACATATCACACACACACTATACTGCACACACACACACCGGGAGGTCAGGGATAGAGTAGGTCCCCGTTACCTTTCGTTTGTGTTCTTGCTGACAACCATTGGAACAAACTAGAATACTTACATGCCCCCGTTTTATAACTATTATATCGCTGACTGCGTGAAGGCAGGGTGATTATACGCCAGAATTTGGACACTGGTTGAAGATCGGACACTTCAACAAGGAATGCTGTTCGAAATAAGTGCCTAAAAACACCTGGTGTTTCGTTGTTTCGGAGGGAATACCGACAATGTTTATCTTTTTTACATTCGGATGAACCTGTTCAATTGTATATCACCCTTTAACTATTTATATCTCAAGGATTTATATGAAATTTAAGATATGTTTTATATAACCTTAACGTGAACACTGCAGAATGCTATCGGATGCTTACACATTTCAAACGTACACCGATCTCATATCAGTGGTAGTGATGTAGAACGGTCTTATATCAGTGATAGTAAAGTACAGTGGTGTATATCAGCGACAGTAAAAGATGGGTTTCTCGGGTGGTCTGCAAGCGGCCCCAACACTTTGAAAGATCAACACTTATGTGCAGTGGCAGAACATTCTCATCACTCCCTGCATATGTTATCTCCATCTACCTACAGACTAAAAACGTTTATAAAGTAAGTCTTCAGGCGTGGCTCGTTGATTCCTTCAAGCGCAGTTAACTGCTTGAGTCGTGTGTATCATAGCACCGCTGAATAAACACTATAGACTATAAAGGGTTGTAACTGGTGCTTACAATACCCCACCAGGCGTGAGGCTCTGTTAAGGTGAAGAGACTGGTAGGCTTCGCAAATCACCCGCGTGTCCAGCTGATCGCTTTACGAGAGAGCGGTTGCTTCGATCGCTGCTGAGTCTCATCCCCACAACACGAACGCGGTTTACAGTGCCAGCCGATGTCAGAATCCCGAGTAATTAGACACCAAGGGTCGACCAATCAGAAGACGTGTTGTTAGCGTGATTGACAAGTGACGATTCTTACCTCGTGTATTTTCCTCGCAACAAGCATAGGATAGCGTTGGTTCGATACGACTTGATTCACATCTGATTCTGTTGTAGGTTCACCTGCGACGTTTCAAAGGCAGTACATGGACTTTCTTTAGACAACTTTAAAGGAAGGTCAACCAGAGTGTCGTCTACATAGACATGGGATACCAAAAGAACAGTTCAATGGACCAGCCTATCGCATCATGATAATACCTCATGTGGAAGAGCCAGAGAAGAACCAGTGATATATAATTCTCATCGGATTACAGATAGGAGTAGCTCTTTATCAGTCACCTGATGCCTGGTAATATATCTTGTGGCTCGTAAATATTTGTGGAGAAGCTATTGTATACATTTATGAGATACTCTTTCTGAAATGTAAATGGAGTTCAGCTTTGTTTCAATAGTTTGTAAAGGTTACTTGTGAATAATTGATCCGTGAATATATTTTCTGGGATATTTAGAAGAAACTGCAGAAGTATAAGATGGCAGGAATTACCTTGAATCCTCCTTTGCCAAGCCACCCTGGCGACATGAATCTAACTTACTTTCTGTCCCCTGGAACGGAAGGAGAGTTGGGGCACAACATGTCTCGTGACTCTGAAACAAATCCTCAATCGGACTACATTGATCAGTGCACAGCTAAGGTTCTTCCTCACCTTGACCTTACACAAATAACGTCAGTGGCGTTAACTATAGTAGTGATATACAGTTTGATCATTTTCCTGGCCGTCACCGGCAACGTCTTAGTAATATGGACAGTGATACGTAACAAATACATGCATACTGTGACCAACTACTACATCGTTAACCTTGCGATATCGGATTTGTTGGTGTCGTCCATTGTCATGCCGTTGAAGTTGATGGAGTACACGGCCCCGTGTGAGTGGCACGTCTTCTCCAGCGACACCCTGTGTTCAGTACTTTCGTATCTTCTCCCTATCTTCGTGTTCACCAGCGTCCTCACCCTTGTTGCCATCTCGTTGGAAAGGTAAGACAGAATATATCATACATTTTTTAAGGTATAACAATGTCTTTAAAATGAATTTGCTGTTCACACCAATCATCCTAATATACAACAAAAACATTTAATATTCCAGTTATATATTTAGGAAACTTGACAATAAATATTGTCATCACAAATATGGATGATTCAGCAAAACAAATCCTTTCTTTTGCATTTCCCCTTTTCATTCATGAAGATCTGCTTGAGAGATAATCGTGTCGGTTAATCAATGATAGTCCACTCAATGTATCAAAAATCAATAAAGACGCAAGTGATTAAGCAGCAACACACGTAAGGAAGCATTGTACATTGCCATGAAAGCAAAGGAATAATTATTTGTAACAAATCTCTCATTAATGTTCTCACGAGACTGCAACGAAGACGCTTACATGAATATATTCAACGAACATCACCGCGCTTTTTGCGTACATGATACGATTTAATATTGACAAGCTCGTGCGTTATTTGCTCTCATATTAATTTGAAATTCGTAACACGGTCGTGGTAAAGTAAACAGGAGCTGATATGCATTTTAGAATGTCAACACATTAAAATATATTCCTCTAACGAAATGTTTGATGAAGCAATTAAACAGCATTTAGTAAATAGTTTTTCACAGATAACAACTGAAAAGAAATAAATGATCAAATTGATTTCTAAGCTTTATGGTTTTTAATGCATGCAATAAGTATTGTTTGAACATTATCAAAATATACATGCATTTCTCTGTATTCGTATTTTCTATGTAAACAAACAAGGTGTGTCTTTTTTCTTGTTTCTTGAAGAGATTCAAACCTCATCCATTAGGTGTACTAAGGATTATTGTAATGAAGGCTATGTTGAGGATGAGTTTCATGTACTTCTCATTTGTAAATATTATCAGTTTCTTAGAAATAGATACCTCCCTATGATTTCAACTATGTACAAAGATGAACAACTAATGAGAAATTTGTTGAACTCCCGCAATGCTAATACAATATCATCTCTGTCAATATTCCTGAAGAAGATTTTTGAAATTAGACGTTAATATTATATGTGAACTTATTATTACCTACACGTGACTGTACAATGTTGATACAAAAATACTAAAATATTGAATAAACTTCTGTCTGTCTGTCTGACTAAGGAATGGTGTTGATACGGAAAGTAGTAAAGAAATCGTAATTTAATGTTACAACATGCATCTCATAGAAACTCTTCAGTGTTTGTAGTGTTACTGGAAAGGAACAAACTACAGCACATGTTGTGACATCCTTTAACGTTCCCCTTGGGTTTGCCTTCACACACGTTATGCAAAAGGATTCAAGAAGTACAGTACAAGACATATTTAGTGACATAACTTTCTTATTATCAGGCTATTAGCATTTTTCAGTTCACTTATTTAGATGTGTTTTTTTCTCTCATTACACTCTCAGCCACTCCTTCACGTCTACTCGGTGCCTACTCCGTGATGGTGGGAATTATCTATCTCGCTCTTTTCCTGCAATTACCAAAGTGTTACGGTGAAGTTAGCAGTCGTAACTGTTGATGTCAGAACAATTTCGTAAGGAGTCGTAAAGGGACCATTAACAATGCACGGTTCTTGAAAATGAAGACATATGCGTTTTTGATAGCTGCTTCTGGGGGTTATTTGTTTATCAAAATGTTTTGACTTTGTTATCGTTGAGGTTGTAAGCAGATGGTTGTGTCGTTTGCATATCCTTTAAGACATATCCTTAACCTGCGGTAAATACATGTGAGTGGCTGTCTATATTTTTTCATATCTAAACCATTGTGTATTACCTTTTTTTAGAAGAGCACCATGTGATCAGTAGATACCATCCTTGTTATATAACAGTTTTATAACATTTATTAGGTTATATAATACAACGGATAGAACGGGTAGCGTGTTCTGGCAACCGTTGGTGTTATATCCAGTGTGGCATCAGAAACAGTGGCGATTTAAGGGTGACACGCTTGTTTTGGCTATGACGATCTCTTTTATCACAGACCAAGTTGCTTTGTATTATAAACGAATACTATATGGTGTAGTTTCACAATGATGTCATTCAAAAGTTACAATCCGGGAATGTCACTAATTCCGAAGTGTTCGGAAGAGACATTACAAAGGTCGCTACATTTTCTCTAGGGATTTCAGTTTAAATAATTCTTATGTGATAACTGACTCCGTGGTTGTAATGTGCTTCAGTTAAGTGGTTCAAGTATTATTGTTGGGGTACATAGAGCCAACACCTATGCAATAAACCAGAATCATGCTAAATGCAATGAACCAGAAGTTCATCCATGAAGTTATATATTTTCTTTTAAACATATATACAGATAAAAACCGATTGTCGCTGATCCCTTAATTCGCCATTCAACCTACTGAATACTGTAAACTACGTGTATAACGACCACGCTTATAACGAACTCATTATATAACGAACTGTTTTTGGTCCAGTGTATTTGCTGTATACATGCTTATAACGAACTACGGTTATAATGTAAAATCATTAGTGGCCTCTTTGAGTTCGTTATAACCGTTGTTTACTGAAGTAGAAAATTTATCTAATAAATGAGTCTGGTTTTAATTCTTCAGGACATGGTTTTGTCGCTTTTAAGTAGTGAAATGTAGACATCAAAGGCTTGAACTGCTGAAATTTGCTCTACTTGAGCTCTAATGTTGAGCATTGGTGTCATACCTTTTATCTTGTGGAGAGTGTTTTGTCACTCTGAATCTGTATGCAGTGATCCAAGTATTGAATAGAGGGTGATTTCACTTATCTCTTTTATTTCTAGTTCAGGTCAGTGGAAGGGAGTTGCCTGTGTGACCATTATTGAAGGATATCAGATACCTGAAGTTTAAGTTAAACGTCTTGGCCAAATTACGTTGTTTTGATCTTGCAAGTCCGAGCAGAAATTTCGATTCATATGCATAAAGAAACAGATCATCAAGGAGGGTAGCACAACAGAAGCCCATGTAGAAGCCTACGCCTTGCCTTAATGTCTTACCCCAAAATGTTATCAATTGGGAAATCAAGCATTTCACATATTGTTTTCTCAGTAAACTTCAGACGAAATCTGCTTTCTTATATGATAATTTGTTAGTATATATATTTTCACCACGATTAGCAACAAGAAATGGATGAAATTAAATGACACTGATATGATAATGACTGATATGATGACCTTCCTCCGAAAGGTTCTGGGTGGGTTCGACTAGGCAGCGCTTCCTTTGAGAAGTCCCATTCGCTGCCTAGGTTGCGTGTAGAGGGCGCAAGGGCTGAGCTGATGATGAGCCTAACCAGCCTGACTGTGCAGGATCACCCAAACCCTCTTTGCTGCTTTTGTCTATGTTAATGTGTACATAAGAAGAAGAACAACAACAAGAACAACAACGATGACAGAAATATGATGAAAAAAACAATACATTAGAGGAGATGGCGTCAATAAACAACAGCGATCCCACCTAAACAGTAGCTGAAGAAATCTAAACGAGAACATGTCATGATCCTTACTGGCTGATGGTATGTGTTATTTGTTTCCTGGTACAGTGACCTTTATGAAAGATAAACCATGCTTTCATTTCCGCTGACACATTCTCTGGCACTAAGTCGAGATTGAGTTGTCATCCTGTGAAGTAAACCCACCTTGCTTTCCACTGATTTAATTCCTCCAGTGCTTCTGAACTTCTGCAATCCATCCAACCCCTTCCGTTGATATAAACAGATTAATCAACAGACAAGAAATGCATCGGAGTATGTAACAATCGCTGTAATATTCAAACATAAGATTCTACATTCTACATGTAACAAAATGCAAGGAGGGTACAGGCTATATTGCTACATGACATTAAATACGGTGTCGTTGCGATAGTATTACACAGCCTAATCTACGGATTTGATGCAATCAAAACGGATTTATTTCTTCAATCACTGCTCTTATGAGATGTGTGGATATTTCACAGAGGATGTCACCACAATAGACAATTTACCATATTGATGTGAGCTTTCAGTGCCATCTGGATGGAGGTATAATTTTCACCGTAGCTTTTTGTTCCAATAATCTGTCAATACCGTGTTTATTATAATTGTATCTAAAAGCATTGTTCATTTTTATCGTATTCTCGAGAAGATAACATCAGGTTGCACATGTAGTAATGGAAGTTTCCCTGACACAACTCATCTAACTTCCTTGTCGAGGCAACAGATAGATGTGCTTAGGCGCATTAGCGCACATCAGCTGACCTCAGATGTGCTAGTAAAACAAATCATGAAAGAGTTTGCGTTTAATTTATTTTAATTAAAATTTTAAGTGAGTTTCTTTGAAGTTTTCTTCACGGCTTGATTAAATATTTTCCGCTCCTCTGTGTAAGTGAATGGACGGATAAACAAATAATATCGAGGTGGAAATGTCTGTCCTAAGACCAGTAATTCTCTCTTCAATGCACTCTCTTTCTTATTCTTAAGATCTTTTTCTTCCTGCTGACACAACATAATTGGATATCACCCGCCATATCAATCAATGTTTATAGTGCATGATACATATACATGTTTATGAGTCTTATCGCTACGTAATGAGTATTTTCTGTGCATCATTGCATAATAAATAAACACTGACACTTTCTGTAAATGTAGCGTTCTACATTGTTCAGTAAAAGCGACATAAAATCTTAAGAAATATCTACAAAAAGCTGAGTCCATTGTACGATTCCGACTATATCATAAGCATGTGTTCACGAATCACTATCAAATAGTGATGATACCATTTGTTCGCGAACAAAGACCTTAATTCAAATGTATTTAGATGATTGTACATAATAATATCTCTGTACATATTCCTTTTCCCTGCGTCGACTGGACACTTGAGAAGACAAATTGATGAATGGTACCCGCCTTATTTTTCATTTAGGTCGCACACCTCACAGATTTTTTCTTTTCTTCGGACACCGGTATATCTACCAGATTCAATGAATACATGTCTCGAAATCTTGATAATACAATTTG